GCCTTCCATTGCATCTCTGCCTGGAACGCATCCGGAGGTCCCCCGCCCCCGGGAGCTGCGCTGCCCCGGGCAACCCCAGCCATGCTCCCAGCAGCGGCGGTGCAGGAATCTCTGAAGGCCTTCCCCGCCACCATGGGAGGCCTCTTGGATGTCCCCACCGCTGCCAATAGTGCCTCCCAAGCCCTATTGGCGGTGGCGGGGGGAGCTCCGAGATCTCTGCCTGGAACGCATCCGGAGGTCCCCCGCCCCCGGGAGCTGCGCTGCCCCGGGCAACCCCAGCCATGCTCCCAGCAGCGGCGGTGCAGGAATCTCTGAAGGCCTTCCCCGCCACCATGGGAGGCCTCTTGGATGTCCCCACCGCTGCCAATAGTGCCTCCCAAGCCCTATTGGCGGTGGCGGGGGGAGCTCCGAGGGGCCTCTGGCAGCCGCGCCAAAGCCCTCGGAGTCCTCCAACAACAGCGATGGCGGTGGCCCCCTTGAAGCCTTCAAAAAGGTAAGGTGGTTTTTTAAAATTTTATTTTTAATTTTATCTGTGTGGGGGGAGTGTTTCTTGGGCGGTGCACGGATTAATTGGTTTTCTATGCATTCCTACGGGGAATGCATTTTCGACCTACGGACTCTGTTCCAATAAAGATTAATTCCGTAGGTCGAGAGCCCACTGTACATTCCTCCCTGCATTAAACAGCCAATTCCTGCTCCAAAGCCTTGTTCAACAATGGGCAGTAAGCACATTTGAACCACTTCTTCCTTCAATGTATTGCTACATCAATTCCCCTCAGCCAGGCTGGGGATTCTTTCTACTATGGTTCCCAGTCCAGCCCACAGCTTCCATGTCAAGTTCTTTAACAACACTCCACACTTCTCACCATTCTGTTCAAGAAGCTGTTGTTAGAAGGTGCTGAAGATCAGAGAAGCCTCTCCCCAGTTATTCAGCTAAACAGCACTGAAATTGGGGGTGGGGGTATCACCCTTTTCCTGTTTCTCAGATAGTCATTAGTGGGTACTTCCTAAAGAGAACAACTAAAAAGTTCACTTTATTTTGGAATACAAAAGCTTTGCTTTCAGTTTTGGTTTGCTTTCAGTGGTAAAAAGATATAATGATTTTATCATGGCTAAGCCATCCAATCTGCCCTGAAATTTCCCCTTCCTGCTTCCCTGGACAGGGTGCTCAATAGCAAATTAACTCCCGAGTTTTTCAACAGGAGATGAAACCCCAGCAAGACCAACTTTCAGCTTGAGCTCTGCCTTCTAATACTGTTGCCAAGGTCCCTATTTGCTCAGAGGCACTGATCAAGACCCTGTGTTGACTCATAAAACCCCAAAGAGTAATGTCTGCCCAAGGAACAAACTGGCCAGGACATCCAAAGTAGGGTCCAGAAGAATGGTTCCATAGAGTATGGCTAAACAGTGTGTGAATTGTTGAGCCGATGGGGAGAGACATGCATTTAACTGAAAAGTTACTGGAGGAATCACGGATAAAAGTGTGCCTTTTGACCTGCTAATGACAGGTGTGGAACCACCATCTATTGGGAAAGCATCCAAAAACATTATGCAATATTTATTATTTATTGTTTCTTCAGTCGTACTTACAGAACAGTAAAAATAATAAAAATATTTCCATCACTCCTTAAAATAGATTTCAAGTCTTTGTAAGAACAAGTCAGAAGCTTTAAGTCCAGAAGAAATATCTAGTGCAAAAGGGTATGTTTACTGCTGAAATTCCACCACCACCAAAAGGCATTTTAAGCTTCCAAACGTAAAATGCAGTTTAACTGTTTAGCTGTGGGGACCGCAGTAGGAAGGAAAAAGGCACAGGTATACCTTGGATATTAAAAAGATTTAAATTTCCGTTTTGGTGAGCACACGTTGGACTTATGCTCTAGCCACATTTAATGCAAAACAAGCTGATAATTATGCACTATCCCTTGTTAAGGCATTCATTCTTCATCTTCTCCACCTTCATCACTGTTACGATGGAAATTCAATGTTGTTTGTCCCCTCTCAGGGTCCTGCATTCGAAAGATTCGGATAAGACGACTTGTCGGCAAAGAACTAAACGGAAAACGCAAAGGCAATTTAGTAACAGGTTGTTTTTCTTCATATAAGACTATAATATATTTAAACCACAACAATACTCCATGTTACACAACTATATGCTCTTTAAAATGACAAATGATCCTCAATTTTTATCAGTGGGACTGATGGGAGTTTTAAACAACTTAGGTGCCCATTTCATAAAAATACTGCATCAAGCCATGGCGTGATGATCTGTCATCTTCAATTTGATACAAGGTAAATTCCAGAATGCATAATTACGTGGTCAGGCTGTTAGAATCATTAATGGATGGATGCCTCTCTGCCAACCTAGAGGAAGGTCACAAGTGGAACATCTCACAGTGTTCTTGGTCCTTTACCATTTAGCCATTTTACAGGTAGGTGGTATTGAAAAATATAGCTATTAAAATCTAGCTATGATGCAAAGCTGAGAGGCAGAGCTAATGCTAGAGAAAAACAAAGATTCAAAACAATGTTGATAGGTTCAAGCCTACAAAGTGAAATGCAACAGACATATATGTCATGTCTTGTGTTAATGTACAAATAAAAATCAAAGATGCAACACAGGAGTGGTCTACTTTGACAGCAGTACCTGTGGAAAATATGTAGGTTGTCTTACTTGATCAGAAGGAGGACATGAGCCACCAGCAAATGCAAAAGCTAAAGAAAACTGAGAGGCAAGCTCATATTGCTTAACAGAAGAACAGTGTTTAGATCACAGGAAATAACAGCTCCTTCTGTTAAATTTTTGTCAGGCTGCATCTAGAATAACCTCTCCAGTTTGGGATGCTACGTTCTAGGAATTGCAAGGGAAAATGGAGTATGCCTATAGAACAAAAATAAGGATGTCCTATGAGAGTGGTTCTTAAGTCAAAATGTTCTTAACTCGAGCCGTTCTTAAGTCAAGACCCCACTGTAGAACAAAAATAAGGATTGATTTTCAAACCAAATCCTATGTGGAGTGGCCAAAGTTGTGGGTGAAAGGTAGAGACAAGCTTTGGACAAAAGGAAGAGCAAGTTTTGTAACATATGCAAGGGAGAGGTGACATCTGGAATAAGCACAAGATGTATCCTGACACATAACAGTTTGCTGCTACTTTTCATTATGGGTCTCACTTTTGTATGCACTGTCTTTCACTTCAGTATATTATTATTTTATTAGGGATGGGGGGCTTTGGGAACTCTAGGCCCCCCAGTTCCAGACGTCTGGAAACCCCCAGGCAGACTTTTGGAACTGGAGAGGAGAAACCAGAAGGCAAAGGAGATGCCCTCCGATCACCACTGGCTCCTTCATTCCACATGTATCAGCTTGGGAAAACAAGGATGGTACATCCCTTTCTTTCCCACTGCTCCCGGGAAGTCACTTCACTACTCTTCCTATAGGGTCTTAATGAATAGTGAGACTGCTAGAGATGGGTTACTCATATCTGTATCCCTGGGAATATGAATAGCGGCAACCTCAGGTGCCATGGAGGTCTATTCCCTCTCCCCACCGTTTGGTGTGCGGCGCTCAGCTCTGTCATCCCTGCGCTGCTCGCAGGAGGCGCCCGGCTGGCTCTTCCCCACCTCCCCGCACAGATGACTAATCAGCTGTCCCGCCTCTGCAATGGAGTGGTTGACTGCGCAGGGAAGAGCCGGCCAGGCTCCTTCAGCAACTGGCGTGACGACGACAACAGGGCTGAGCACCAAACGAAGAACAGAGTGGCCGGTTCTGTGGGGAAGGAATGGACGTCCGTGGCAACTGTGGTGCCGCCATTCGTATTAGTATCCCCAGGAATAGGAATACAAATAGCCCATCTCTAAGGACTGTACCTGTGGAACAGTGAGGCAACATAAAGCTGCTGTTGCTCTCCTATAAATGTAACATTTCAAAAGGGTGTTAAATTTAGTAATTCATATTTTCTACCAGCCAAGAAAATTTAAACTGTTACATGATATGTTGTTACCCGCCCAGAGTAGTCTATATGACTAGATGGGTAGGCTATAAATGTATCAAACAAACAAACAAACGAATGAATAATAGCTCACCTCATGTTCTGTGGGGTAAGCAAAATAAACTGGCGATAACGCTGAGAATCTGCCATCTTAAGCATCATGTCCATTGCAATTCTCCTGTTAACCATGTCCTAAGAGATCCCCCAGATACGGAATGGGTCAATATATTTTTATACATAAATTTACAAGACACAATACTTGTCTACATAAGCAAAACATCCCTATCTATATTTACAAATCTCAATTACAGAATAATTTGCCCTTAGGAAATTCACACAACACTTCTTGTGTTTCAACTTGTTAATATCACGTACCTAACCATTAAGGCCTTATAGCGGTCTACTTAAAGCATGGTTACTAAACATTTAACTTCCAAGATAAAAGTTTCTAAGGACTGACTTTCTTTTTGGGATACAATTCCACAAACATGAATACATTGGAAGCATTGTGGTTTTATTATTCAAATACAGTGGTGCCTCGCTTGATGACCATAATGCGTTCCATTAAAATCGCTGTTAAGCGAAATCGTCGTCAAGCGAAATTAAAAAACCCATTGAAATGCATTGAAAACCGTTCAATGCATTCCAATGGGCAAAAGACCTCATTGTGCAGCGAAGATCCTCCATAGGGTGGCCATTTTCTGGTGCCTGTAATGCAAGGAATCCGTCCTAAAGCACAGTGGGGCGTCATTTTGCACAGCGGGTGGCCATTTTGAAACCTGACGATCAGCTGTTTTTAGATCGTCGTAATGGGAAGAATTGGTTCCCGAAGCAGGGAACCGATCGTCGCGAAGCAAAATTTCCCCCTAGGAACATCTAAAGCGGATTCGTCGTTTAACAAGGTAACTGTTAAGCAAGGCACCACTGTACTGTTACCAAGAAGCCCCCAAGAGCCCCCTTGAACAGTATCATCAGACCCAAATTTAATGCTGTGAGGAAGCTTGAGCAAGCCAAACTCAAAGAACTGCTGGCTGCAGCACCTTTGGAAGGAGCAGAAGCCTCCTACAGCACCACCACTTGCTCTTCTGCTGGGCCAACCCTCTTATGCAGGCTAATTGCAGATCTGCAAGCACAACGGCTATGCTGGCTGAGATCAGGCAGCAGAGAGGGAACAACAAGGGCAGAATTAGAGAGGATAAGGGAAGGAGCTGACTGACTTACACCAAATCCTAGTGACTCATAGCACAGACTCACAGCCATTATGCTATCAGTATGTTAAGACGGGGTCAGCGTAGTCCTAAGCAACTTCTAACAATCCCTGTGGTGGGTGGATTTTGGATTCAGCTGGCTTACTGTCAGCTTAACTGGCCCTCAGCCTTCTTGGTCTAAGGACTCATCAACTGAAACAGTCTAAATCAGTGGTTCCCAACCTTGGGTCCCCGGATGTTCTTGGACTAAAACTCCCAGATGCCTTCAGTACAAGCTGTGCTAGTCAGGATGTAATGAATCTATATCATCACACATATAGCTCTTCCCACCTGCGTTAATGCAGAAGGTAAGGCAGGTATACAGTATGGATAGCAGCAAATATATGAAAAAATATTTTAAACAAATGTTTGAGAGCTGAATAATTAGTCTCTTAATGAGAAAGGTCACACTATTTCTCTACCCAGACTTCACTGTAGGGATGGTAACTCATTCAATTCATATCTTCATGGTTACACTTGCTCATTAAGAGTCCTTCCTCCGGATGCTTAGCATGACAAGTCCTGGTTAGTGAGTGGGTAGGAAACATGTAGGAAGACCCTCGTCCTAAGACTCCATATGTTATCCAGAATTTAGAAGCTGAAGTACTGACAACACAACATGTATTTTGGTATAGGAAAACTTAATTCCAATCTCAGCCAAGTAATGTTGGATAGGACACTATCATCATCACTAGCAACGCAGCAAACCAAGTAAAACTGGATGTATCACCTAAAGCAGTAAGAAAATGGTACCACTGGTTCTTGCAATAGTTTGCTTAGAATTACTTCAAGTAAATTTAAAATGGCAGACTCTTTGTTGTTGTTTAGTCGTGTCTGACTCTTCATGACCCCATGGACCAGAGCACGCCAGGCCCTCCTGTCTTACACTGCCTCCCGGAGTTGGGTCAAATTCATGTTGGTAGCTTTGATGACACAGTCCAACCATCTCGTCCTCTGTTGTCCCCTTCTCCTCTTGCCTTCACATTTCCCGAACAAGGGAGTCTTCTCATCTCATGAGATGGCCAACGTATTGGAGCCTCAGCTTCAGGATCTGTCCTTCCAGTGAGCACTCAGAGTTGATTTCCTTTAGAATGGATAGGTTTGTTCTCCTTGCAGTCCAGGGGACTCTCAAGAGTCTCCTCCAGCATCACAGTTCAAAGGCATCAGTTCTTCGGCGGTCAGCTTTCTTTAAAGTCGAGCTCTCGCTTCCATACATCGCTACATACCTTTGACTATGTGGACTTCTGTCAGCAAGGTGATGTCTCTTCTTTTTAAGATGCTGTTGAGGTTTGTCATCGCTTTCCTCCCAAGAAGCAGGTGTCTTTTAATTTCGTGGCTGCTGTCACCATCTGCAGTGATCATGGAGCCCAAGAAAGTGAAATCTGTCACTGCCTCCATATCTTCCCCTTCTATTTGCCAGGAGGTGATGAGACCAGTGGCCATGATCTTAGTTTTTTTGATGTTGAGCTTCAGACCATTTTTAGCGCTCTCCTCTTTCACCCTCATTAAAAGGTTCTTTAAGTCCTCACTTTCTCCCATCAGAGTGGTATCATCTGCACATTGGAGGTTGTTGATATTTCTTCCAGCAATCTTAATTCCGGCTTGGGATTCCTCCAGTCCGGCCTTTCGCATGATGTATTCTGCATAGAAGTTAAATAAGCCGGGGGACAATATACAGCCTTGTCATACTCCTTTCCCAATTTTGAACCAATCAGTTGTTCCATATTGAGTTCTAACTGTTGTATCCTGTGCCATGTATACATTTCTCAGGAGATACAGTATATAAGGTGGTCAGACACTCCCATTTCTTTAAGGACTTGCCACCATTTGCTGTGGTCCAGACAGTCAAAGTTTTTGCATAGTCAATGAAGCAGAAGTAGATGTTTTTCTGGAACTCTCTGAACATTACTAATAACAGCTCTACACGTATTAACCTTTTCTTTGAAAAAAGAAACACTGAAAATGTACACTTTATCATTTAATGATAAAAATGAGTTTATGTTGCTTCAATAATTCTAAATTCAGGATTTTGGAATGTGTGTCCAAAACAAATATAGTATGTATTAAACTTACAGAAATATTAAATTATTTTAATTGACAAGGAAAGAAAAAACAAATTATTCTTTCATAGTTCTGATAAAAATTGGTAACTTATGGACTACTCCAAATGTATATCTAGTGAATATTACAAGAAATAATTTCAGAAAATTGTACCATAAAGACATCAAATTCATCCAAACATCTGAAAGGAGACTCTGCAATGGACCACAGGGAAAGCATGAAGCAGACTGTGGAGAAAGAACGTTCTCCTCCAGACAAAGATTTCATGTCATCTAGAGCAGCCTTATTTCCTTCTCCAGGCTGAACCTTCAGGTGCATAAAAAGACAAAGGTGAAGTCAAGTCAGTCAGTCACTCAGTCAGTCAAAGGTAGGTTAAAAATACACTGCAGGGAATATTTCCACTACAGAAACAGAAACAGTAGACGTTAACAGGTGAAAGTTCTCCTGACCTGTGGAGAAAATACCCTACCAATAGATCGCTCCTCCCACACACTTCTTGAGTGGAGATGGGAGCTTGTACAGTACTTGTATACAAAGCCTGCTGGCACAGGTGGCTGGCCCAATTGCCACCCACCCCCAGTGTGTGGCCGCCATCAACTCCTGCATCCCAATCGTGGCAGTGGCCCAGCTGCTGCAGCAGCGCCACCTTCCTCCTCGCCCAGCCACTCTCCGGCTGAACGGAGAGACTCGTCTTCCCACCCCCTTGCTGAAGTGACCGGGCGAGTAGGGAGGCAGGGCTGCGGCAGCCGGACTACTGCCTCAATTGGGGTGCGCCGGCCATACACACCGCACGGTAAGTGGTCCAGTAGGTTCTGGGGATGGGTGGCCATCTGTCCTGGAGGGCTTCATATACAAATACGAAGCCCTCATCTCTATTCTCAAATCAGGATATATTTGTTTGTTAATATGATGGACTCTTCCTGCAGACTCTGATCTGGAGAGTCATGAGTCAAAGGAGGTTGAAAAAGAGATTTTCCTGCATTTACTGACTGTTCCTTCGTTTGCTCATTTTTCTGAATACCGTCACCACTGTGTTATTACTAACCATATTGTCCAGAACAGAGCCATCTGCAATACACATGGGTGGGTGTGCAGGGGTATGAGACCCAATGCTGAGGGGCATTGGCATTTACAGCTTCTTGCCGATACTCAGCAGCAGCAGAGCCGGAATAACATGCAGGGAGAATGCACACACTGCCTTTAGGCTTCCCTTCCTCAAGTCCAATTCGAATAAGAATTAAGGAAGGGAGGAAAAACAGGTCACAGTGGCCTTGAGGGGGAAATGGAGTGAGCCTGGAAGGTCGAACTGCTCACTCAGTGGAAGCAGATTACAAATAGGGGAGGAAATACTTCCTCTCCTTAAATACATGATTTAAGAAGTGTCAACACTCCTCTTAGGATGACCTCCAGTCTGAACACATTGCAAATAACTTACAATCACCACCAGACATAGATTAATATGTAACTATGTATAAAAGGCACTTAAGTCTAAGACTATTAAATCAAGTATTCAGACCTAATTTCAGTGCAGCAGAACTGAAGATCCTTCATGAAATAAGGAAGCATATCTAGCCTTAAATAAGCTAGCAATAGAAGACTAATAGTACTGCTCCAAGAATACTGAAGTGGGTAAAACTCAGAAAAGGGCCACATGGCCTCCATCCTCCCCCACAAGCCTCTTGCAGACTGCATCCCTTCCCATATAAGATGCCAACCTGGCCCCAGCAACAATCACAAGACTTTGGGACTTTTATAAATGTTTAGAACTACCCACTTGGTGAACAGCCTGTAGAAGATGAATTATCAAAAGCTCACTGTTGTTTGTCTGTGTTTTTGTTGTTGTTATTTTTAAAGTGATCTAATAAAGGTATCACCTACTCCTGCATTTGTTTTGGAATGGGCAAGATTTTTAAAATCTGTGCTTCACCAACTGAAAGTAATACTATAAACACAGAGGCAACTGCATAAAAAGGAGGTAAGTTACAGTGATGATTGCATTTAAGAAGCTGTAAAATACCAACATAATAAGGGTGGCTTTTTCATGCCTTTTCTATCATTCTATGCAGCCAAATAATCTATCTCAGAATGATGAGGACACCTAGAGGCTATAATAGCCATGACAAATGTTCCCAATTAAGAAAGCAAGAGTTCTTAAATTCTGTTTTCTGTTTGTATTGACTACCACTCCATGTACATTTTCTAATAATAACAAGATTCTGGCACTGGAATTGCAGAGTAACTAAGATGAAGCAATTGCAAACCCACCCATCCCCATGGTTTGAAAATACTGGTTAGCCGGGAACGAAACTCCCTGAATATATTTGCAAGGCTCAACTGAAGTCTTGGGGTTCTCACATCAATCCAGGATCTAGGATGCAATTCAGTGATGGTCACGCACCTGCTTTCTACCATGGAGACTTCCGTATGATCAAACGGAGAGCCAACTCTTTTCTATGTATGGACCCAGACTGCTCTACTTCCAGACAAACCCAACAATCTACAAATACAAATCAATCAATAAAGAATAGGCAAAAAGACTTACGGTAATTGAAAGCTTTTCATTCTTGTGGTCAAATTCTATTCTTCCAGAATATGATCGTTGGCTTAACAAGGAGTCAAAGTAATATTTACATCGCACTGTAAGGTATCTGCAAAATGAAAATATTATAGAAATTGATATAGACTGAAATTATTTACCTAGCATTCAAATTAAAATAATTTCCTTCCAAAATGATGACTTGGACTCACTTCATTTCCCCCCGCCCCAATTTTACCCACTAAAATAAGAAACAAACATCAATTGTACCTTTATGTTCGAATTGCAATTAAATAACCTAAGACACAGTTTCCAAGGACGGCAGCCCCTTCACTTGTATGAGTAACGAAATCGGGAAGATTTTCACTAGTTTCTCCTTAACCAGTTTCATCCACAAGCAATGATTCAGAATAAAACAAGACACATTCAGAGCAAACCAAGATATAACCAGCTTTGAACCCTGGGTTGATCAGTTATCTTTCTCTGAATGTAGGGCTCAAAAATTCCTACTTCAATCATCTATACAACTCAGGAATGAGCAAAGGGATGGCATTTGCCAAAAAAAGCCTTGTTCACATTAACATTTCTCCATCCGAGGTCATCTTGGTTCTAATGAAATCTATTTCTATTTCCTCAATAAGACTGCCTATATTAAGTAATTTAGCAATACAGTGGTGCCTCGCATTACGAGGCAAATCGCTGTAGAACGAAAACGTCGTAATGCAAAAATAAAAAGCCCATAGAAACGCATTAAAACCCGATTAATGCGTTCCTAGGGGCTTGAAACTCACCGTCCAGCAAAGATCCTTCATAGCGCGGGCATTTTCGCTGCCTGTGCAGCGAGTAATCCATCCCAGAAAAGAGCGGGGAGCCGTGTTTTTTAACCGGCGGCCATTTTGAAACCGCCGATCAGCTGGCCGAAAATCATCGCTTTGCGAGAATCGGTTCCCGAAGCAGGAACAGATCATCGCAAAGCGAAATTCCCCCATAGGAAACATCATTCTGCGATCGCTTTTGCGATCACAAAACCTTCAATGTAAAGCGATTTTGTCGTAAAGCGGAGCGCTTGTAATGCGAGGCACCACTGTATAGCCATTTTATCCTTGCCAAAGCTCTTCTTGCAGACAGCCACTAAAGCATGGATATGGATGGAGCTTTGTACACTCTACGAGAAAAGCATTCAACTCTCTTTGTGCATTAGGCCCCATAAAGCAGCGGTTCCCAACTTTCTAAAGCATGGATATGGATGGAGCTTTGTATACTCTACGAGAAAAGCATTCAAGCATGGTACTTACTCTCTTTGTGCATTAGGCCCCCAAAAGCAGCGGTCCCCAACTTTTTTGGGACCACAGACTGGCTGAGCCTCTGAGGAAGGTGGGCAACTCCTGCGCTTGTGTGGGCACGCACTCTCAGGCGCATGCACAAAGCGGCGGGGGAGTGCGCACATCGTTGGTGGCATGCGTGCACAAAGCAGCTGTGGGGAGGGGAGTGCATGCAGGGGAGGCTGGAGGTCTGTCTCCGCAGCCCAGTCTGGCTCAGGCAACGGACCGGCACCAGGCCATGGACCGGGAGTTGACGACCTCTGTGATAGACAACACTTTTCAAAAACAACCACTCCCCTAATGTTTTTGCTATTCCCATGAAGCGTCGAAAGCTTTAACTGCAGAAAGAGCTTTGGCATGGAACAGGTAAGGATTCCGAAACTCCACTAAAAAGTTGGGAGTTGGGGGGGGGGTTAACTAAAGCTATCAAAATTCTAGTTGGTGGAATTCCTGTTGAACTATGGTTGTTGTGGTGAAAAAAGTATCTGAAATTTGCATTGCTGGAAACTATTTGAAAAGATAGATATTACGCCTTAAGAAGAAGGAAAAAAAGGATGAAAAGCAACTCCATTTGGACACAAGATGATTTACACTCTTGCATTCTCATGCCTCACACTGGCTCAGCATGAAACACATAAGCCTAAACTAGGAACATCTCGATTTTCCATCTTAATTATTTATTTGGCTTTCAGCCCGCCTATCTAGATTCAATGAATCTACTCTGGGTAGCTTGCATTCCAAATATAAAACAAAATTAAAAACACACAATATCAAAACACACAATATTAAAATAAAGAAACATTTAAATAAGACAAAAGACAAAATTCTGTTGCTCAGCAGAGTCAATAGTACTAGAGCAGTCCCACTGAATCAATGATGAGTCAACTCCTTTGTAAGTTCCACTGATTCAAATGGGCCTACTCTAATTGCAACATACTATGCTAAGTAAGTAGCTGTTAAGAGTAAGCCCATTTGAATCGATGGAACTTATGAACAAGTTGGCTGACTAAACTGACACTGATTTAATGGGCAACATACTATGCTAAGTAAGTAGCTGTTAAAAGAGTAAGCCCATTTGAATCAATCGAACTTATGAACAAGTTGGGTGACTGACACTGATTTAATGGGCCTATTCTATTGCTATTTACTACACTAAGCAACGTGACTTGTGGCAGTAAATGCTAGAAATATAAGGAAGTTTTAAATGGTGATCCAGACATTGCTCTGTAATGTGGTCCATGTGTTTACACTTTACAGCTAGGTGAGTTGATTTATGCTACTGATGGATTGTCTCTCCTTTTAGACGGCTACTTGGTTGGTACACATGCCTCTGTTCCTAACTATTCCATACAAATGAACCAGTACAGAAATAGCCTGACACCCACCTTCTAAATTGCACATATGTTTTGTATCTCTGCTTCATCACCTCATCGAGTAACTTAATGAATTTCTTCATATTCTTAACTTCGCCCTCTGCACTCTGGTATTTTTCTTTTGCTTCCTGAAGTTGCCTGCATGGTAACAAAAGGTATCAACAATAAGCATTTTAATTAGCTGAAGACTGCAGCTGGGATCTCAAGGTAGCTGGAGAAAGTTTGTAAAAGGAACGTTTCTTGTCCCTCCCTTCCTAAGGCAGCTCCCAGAAAATCTTCTCCAGAGGAGTCCTCTGGGGGAACAAATACGTAGCTGAACCGGGAAAGACTGCCTCTAGCCAGGTGTAATATTGGACTCTGGGGTCTCCCAAGGACAAGGGAAATATTTTTCTATAGAGTACAGTAGATGTCAGAAGATGCAACAGTCCGTCACATAACATAGCTTTAGGACTGGGGACGTTAAGATTTGTTCTTGTTTTGAGGAAAAACTCCTGAAATGAACCATAAGAGCAAAACGTAACCTCATTCTTGAAGACCTATCTACTAGAAATACCTACTGTTTGTTTCCCAATGAGAGGGAGCTGCTGCCTTCCCAGAAGCATTTTGTTGGCAACTGAAGGAGACCTGATTAACTCCATGAAGTCTTGATATGATCACAAAAGAGGTAGTGGAGAGCCAGGACCCGGGCGTTACACCCTCATATGGCAGCTGGACGCCCATCAGATATCGCTGTGTCAGGCTGCTTTGGTTTTTAAGAGCTAAATCCAACATCTTAACTTGTACGGCCAAAACTACTGGCAGGGTATATTCCCTTCTATCTTTATCAGTCATCCTCTTCTGCAGCTGCACTTCAGTTTCCAAAGTGAAAATGTTACTCTACACCCAGCCATATGTATCTGGTGCACTGAAGTATTCTCGCATTCTAGGAATACTCAATAAGGGGGAAATGACACAAAGTACCCCCATTTTATTATCTATAGCACATGTCAAACACAAGGCCCACGGGCCAAACCTGGCCCACTGGGCCGTTTCATGTGGTCCTCGCAGTGTTGCCTGCTACTATGCAGTATGCAATATGCAGGCACTTACTCGGTCACCCATTATGCTCCGCAGGAATGCTGGCCCAGCGGGACTTCTAATCCCAGCATTCCAAGCAGCAAAGAGTCAGAAAGTGCAGTAATAATCGAATGAGGAGGATTATATTTAATATGATAAAGAATGTCTTACAGATACAACCAGCCCTTTGAGGGCAACCATAATGCCGATGCAGCCGAAGATGAAATTGAATTTGACACCTCTGACCTATGGTTTCAAATAAAGGTAAAAGCACCAAGTGAAAATTATATATATATTCCCTCTCTTAAAAATACACACATATACTAAAAAAAAAACCTATTATAGCTACCTTATTATTTCTTCTCTATCCCCAGTATGTTCTCTTTCTGAATTTATCTTTTCCCGTAAGCGATTCATTTCTGTATTCAGACTTCTAACGGTTCTATCCACTTCTATTCGCTCTGGATGGATTTCTGAAGCCTTTGCAATCACTTCCTAATGAACACATTAAAATATGGCAAAAATTACTTTGCATTAATTCCACATACTTTACTTGGAAATAATATAACAATTAAGAAAGCTCCACTTCATTTTATTGGTACAGCTCCAAACTGGAAGTTGTTTTTTTTAAATTAGCAATTCCCTAGGTTGTTGTTTAATATGTAATTATATGTTTATATAATACTTCGTAGCATTCAAAGCCATTCCCATACCCTGTATCAGTAATTCATTCAACGTTCCTGTAAAATGAAAAAATGAAAAAAAAATGAAACAATTATTATCCCCACTGGGACTTATGTAGGGACAGCTAGTAAGTTCGTAGGTTAGCTGAGATTTATCCTCTGGTTTACATCATATACTATTAGCTGCTACAGTAACACTCAGCTCTGCATCAATAAATGAAACATCAAGCAATTAATACTAAATGCTCTTATCCACTAGAGAAACTAGTACAAATAAAATTTTAAAAGTTAATGCCAGTATAATAATGCTTCACTACACACTAGAGATGGGGGTATTCATATTAGTATACGAATACTCCCGGAACAGGTGGCAATAATGAGGATCTGGCCCCCTAGGGCCAGACCGTCCACTCACAATTCCGCCACTGCTGCCAGCTCCACGATCCCGTCCAATCACTCTGGAGCTTGCTATCAGTGAGCCACCCCTGGCAGGAGGCAGGATGACAAGCCTCCCTGCCAGGTTGAAGAATGGCTCGCCAATCGCGAGCTCCAGAGTGATAGGAAGGCACTGCAGAGCTGGCGGCAGTGGGGGAATCATGAGTGGTCGGTCTAGCCCCAGGGGACCGGACCCTCGTTATTGCCACCTGTGCGGAGGTATTCATATACTAATACGAATGCCTCCATCTCTATTACAGACATGAAGTGCATCCTCCCTGCCAGGTTGAAGAATGGCTCGCCAATCGCGAGCTCCAGAGTGATAGGAAGGCACTGCAGAGCTGGCGGCAGTGGGGGAATCATGAGTGGTCGGTCTAGCCCCAGGGGACCGGACCCTCGTTATTGCCACCTGTGCGGAGGTATTCATATACTAATACGAATGCCTCCATCTCTATTACAGACATGAAGTGCATCTTTCAGTAACTAATACGAATGCCTCCATCTCTATTACAAACATAAAGTGCATCTTTCACTGGCTAAACATCCTATACTGGAGAAGACAAGAACTGCTTGGCTAGATCAGAGTAAATCTGCATCTAGATACAGTGGCCCCTGGCAACGGGAGACCTTCAGCCATGGCCAACCAGATGCTCACAAGAATGCCACTCCTCTAGGCTTGTTCCCATTGGTCTCCAGTCGAGGCTGAATTGCCTCGACTCTAGACTTTGTTAGGCATAATCACTAATAACTGAGATTCAGTTATTAGTGATTATGCCTAACAACGATTAAACTATCTTCCATACTTTTTTCTGTAAAATCTGAAAGCCCCTACGCTGTTGACAAAATGCTGGCAACCCACTTTGTGGCACAGTCATTTTTGCTGTCTCCACAGAATACACATTAAAGAGGCTCTCACATAGCTATCATGTCAGGAAAAAAAACCTGGTACAAATGCAGTCAGAACAGAAGGATGCAGCTCACGGGGGATCATTTGGAAAACTGAACAATTCCCTCTCTCTTTTTCATATTAACACCACGCTGCAGGACACACGCGCCCAGGCCCTGGAATTCTTAGCCCAGAGAGACTTTGCCTCGCCTCCTCCTTTGCTGCCTTTCTGTTGGGAAGCAGTTTTTAAAAAGTCAAACAAGGCCTCTGGCAAATATGACCCTCAGATCGTAAGACATTAGCCATGTGTTGGCTCTTGCTCTTTTTTTTTTAAATAAAGGAAAATACTAATATTCCAATATAGCGATTTTAAAATGTTTTTATTTTAACTGTATTTTAATAACATGATACATTTACTTCTACTTTAGTGTTTGGAATTTTACTGTGTTTTAATTTTTTATGATTTATAACTGGTACTGTAAGCTGCTTTTGGTCCCAATTCTGGAAGAAAGGCGACATATAAATAAAATAAATAAATCTGTATGGTGTATTTTTAAGACCAATATCTTCGAACTAAATGCAGTAATTAAAAAGTTTGTGTAATTCCTTTTTGCACTATGTGAAGCCTAAGTTATACTCTGATTATAATGTAATGAGTGACGACATCATTCCTTCTATGGTAAAACTACATGGATTAGTTACTTTTATAGTTACGGCAAGCATAGGCTCTCTACATAGGTGTTTTGTGCCAGAATCCACAGCCTATAGCAATCAGATCTTTTCAAAAGGAACAAGAAGCTACTTTTAATTAGCTTTTAAATTTCTTAGACTATTAAAAGCAGAAAACTATTTTAGTTATTGTGGTAGTTGACTACTAGCAGCCTTGGATATCAAATCAGTTACTTTTTAAAAATAGTGTTCCAAGTCCTGTCATTTTTTATCTTTCATTTTGAAAGGCTTCCTGTCTCCTGAGCAGGCAGACTGTCTGGAAGCTAAAAGAGGAGAAGACGGACTGTATTTGGGCAAGTGATGGCCCCCCTCTTGGAAGCAAGGCCCTACAGATGATGTTATTCCTTGGGGACAATGACAGAGAAAGCCACATGGCTATTTCACAATGCAGACTTCATGGTCCTCAGGACAACAATCACCAAAAGATCAATCCTCTATTTTTTGACAGGTTTATTTGAAAGACAACTGGTTCCCAAACTAGATGACTTGCAAGATGACCGTAGTACCTAATGTCACCGGAGGCCTATATTCTTATGTTCAACCACTTGACATGCCAACCTAACGTATGGAAAAAGGAGACTGACAAGCATATAAAAAAACTGTGCAGTTCAACGTTATGTTCCAACAACCATGTTTCACAAGTTTGTACAAAAGACCAGCTTCCCAGAATTTTATTCCCATTGTGTAAATGAAAGAAAACCTAGCATGTTTCCACCTGCATTATCATTATTTAAAAGTAATAACAGAGAAAATGAATACCGCTAATTCTCTCTCTTTGTCAGCTAGTTGATTTCTAAGTATTTGTATGGATTCCAAATGGGTTCTCTCTTTTCCCTCATAATGCTGCAAATAACTTTTACTTTTTTCCAGTTCATAGTCTGCTTGGTTTAATCCATCCTGTTAAAGACAAATTAGAGCAAAATGTAAACTTATTCTAAGAATGTTGAAACAGTACAGTGGTGCCCCACTTGACGACAATAATGCGTTCCAGGAAAATCACTGTTAAGCAAAATCATCATCAAGCGGAAAAAACCCTGTTGGAATGCATTGAAAACTGGTCAATGCGTTCCAATAGGGGAAATGCCTCATTGTCCAGCAAAGGTCCTCCATAGGGTGGCCATTTTGGGATCCCTGTCTTGTGAACAATCAATCTGGAAAACAGCGGGGAGCCATTTTGCAACCCGCCAATCAGCTGTTTCTAATCATCGTCTAGAGAAAAAACAGTTCCCGAAGCAGGGAACTATTCATCGTAAAGCAAAAAAAACCCATAGAAACATCATTTTGCAATCGCTATAGCGATCACAAAAAAGTCATCATAAACCAATTTTGGCATCAAGCAGGGTCATCGTCAAGCAGAGCACCACTGTACCAAAAATGTCAGGGACATGACACTGGACAGTTACATCATTAATGCATGAATACATTCAATGTAAAGACAGGAAAAATGAGTGAGTGAGTGAGTGAGAAAGAGAGGAAGGAAGGGAGAGAAAGGGAGAAAGAAAAAGGAAGGAATGAAGAAAGAAAAAGATTAAGAAATTTAAACAGGTACAGAAATATTTCAGTTTTTTAAAATGTAGTCAGCCTGTTCCATTAGTTTTTTTTTAATTCTCAAAGCTGATGCTACACATTTTAAATATACAGTTGCTTATATGTATGTAAATCTTCATCTGCGCAAGTTATACCTGGACTGGGACAGCTTCTTCCTGTATTTGCTGAATTTTTTCTTTAATTTTGGCCAATTTCTGCTCCGCCTCTTGCAGACTACCTTTTAGTTCCTCCATCTTCTCTTTCTGTTTACATAAACCTTCCTTAAGTGTATCCATCTTCAGCCTGTTATCTTGCAGTTCTTCTTCCTGTTAAAACATCCTCATGTTATTTTTAATCTACTTTGAACTCTAAGTCATGAAACCAGGCTCCAATTCATGAGACAATCTCTCTCATGTTTAATAAATGTGTCCCAAATTAGGCAGTACATCACAGCTTGTATCCATCCCCCAAAAAGCCCAAGTCAAGCTAATCATCATTCCACTAGAACTGAATCAGAAACAAAGGCTTCCTAAGCCACCATGGGGCGATTAGAGACCAATGTGATTTCTCTTTGATGATAGGACCCTGGTGAACAGGGGAAAATATTAAGTCCCTTAACCATGCTGAGATCTTTGTCCCAGTGGGACAAGAGAAACTCGTATCCTAGAGAGGTCTACCTAATGCTCTAACTGAAATAACTGTGTAGCTTCTCGTTAGACATCAAAGTCTAACCTCAGTCTAAGGGTAGCCACACACAGAGGATACTTGATCTAAAAATTAAAGGTAAAGTTCCCAGACAATACCAAGCTGGAATTTATTATCAGCTAACTATGATCAATGTTGATGTTGAGTTGGTGGTTGAAATTTGCACAAGAACTTTGAGAAAATACCGATATTTACATATAGAAAACATCTCAACTTATCAGCGGCAGAGATGGCTTTTTTGAGAAGGTGTGACTTTAACTGAGCTCTCCTGTTTCACCAAGTTTGACTGAAGGATTAGCAGATTTTACACAAACAAGGGATGCTCTTGTTTGGCAGAAGAAATCCTGCCAAACAGGAGAAATCCTTGACAGAGGAAATCCTTGACAAGTGTATCTGTGAGAGGAATCTTCCCCATACAGATGACACAGTATTTAAAGAAGGTCCTTGAATTATGCATTGTGGTCTAGTGCAGTGGTCCCCAACCTTGGGCCTCCAGATGTTACTGGATTTCAACTCACAGAAATCCTGGCCAGCAGAGGTGGTGGTGAAGGCTTCTGGGAGTTGTAGTCCTAGAACATCTGGAGGCCCAAGGTTGGCACTAGTTAAAAAAAACCCCGTCAACATCTCACTTAGTTTAGAAACCCTATTAAAGTCTCACTAAGTCAGATGTGGATGTTATGTGCTGTCAAGTCACATCTTGAACTACAGGCCTAAGGAAGCAAGAACTACAGAATCTATCCCAAATTTGACATTTATGGAATATATGATGAGAAGAAGGGAGTGTAAAGAGGGAAATAACAAATTTAAGGGAAAAGACTGCAAACTAATAATGAGCATAAGTAATGAATGGCATGCTGCCATTGTAAAACAGAGTTGAAGCCTGTTCAGGCCTGCATTGTAAGGAACAGATAAGGCTACTGCTCAAATCATCTCCATGTAGAAGGTTCCAGACTGTGGCTCTGCACAGACACAGAATATATGATGAATAGAGATCATGCCAAAGAACTCAAAGTATACTATTCAATTAATATCAAACTATGAATTCAACCTTTAGGCTGTGCAAGTCATACCATAATGTTTGTCCTGCTTCAAACAAACAATAATCACATCACTGTTGTTTTTAGAGCTTAGGAAGTTTCATTTTCACAATAACCTGCAAGTTTCTAACCATTACACCAAAGAGGCTCTATGGTCCACTGATGTGTTTTAGACGGACAAAACAAGCAGAATGCAAACATTCTAAGGATCCCTGTGAGTGAAGTAAAAGTAGAAATGTAATTGGCCCACCAACACACAGCAAATTAAGTGGGGATTTGAATCCAGCCATTCCCAGTTCTAGACTGGCAGTCTATCAGATACTTCTGTTCAATTACTATTGGGACATAAAAGTTAGTAAATGCAAGTCAAGCAACAATAATTATGCTCTAATTCGTATTTTTCTGTAAAGCCAACTACACAGATCATTAACAACACTGATAACTAAAAACTTCTATCATGCACATCCAACACAAACCAAAAAATAAGCATAACAACAAAATTACTATGTGCACAACAAACACACACACCACAATGATGCAGAGGTTTGACACAGGAAATGGAAAAAAAAATCCTTACCAGTGTAGAGATGATCACAGACTGATGTTCTTCTATATGCTGAAGATCTAAAATTTCTAAGTTTATTTTTTTCATTTTTATCTAAAACAGCAAAGAAAATAAAGATTATGGGGGGAAATCCACACTGGATTCAACAGAGATGCTGAAGGTGGAATGCTACATGTTTTCACAGTACAAGAGACTCAGTGGGGTTCAGCAGTTCAACACACAGAAGCAAGCTCTCTCTGTTTGGATTGAAGTTGACTTTTTGGATTCAATACAGACAGAAGTCCCTGAGTATTTACAAACTACTTGTTCAAAACTTTTCAAACTGTGGCCTACAAATCACAGAGAAAAAAGAGGCCTGTTTGCCACTGACACAATCTGAGAATTACTGAAAAAAAAAACCACAGAACTACAGAAGTAATGAAGCTATAAAAGAAAGTAAGTGTAATTCATTCTTTTTATATTTTTTTGAGTTTTTCAAATTGTGATATATAACATTAGGTACGAAGAAAAAGGAGAATATAAAAATCCAAATACAGTAAAAACAATCAACGGCTATTACTAAATTAGGTTGCTTGAAGTTCTCTTTTTGTCCTCAGAAAGTTTTTTTTTTGCAGCATTTTGTTCTACAAAATTGTTTTTATGTAATGTAGCTACAAAAGACACTAAATATGTAAGAGAAGAAAAGGATCACAACATCAGAATTCGTATCACTGGGATTGACATATCCTTAGAAACCAGGAATATAGAATATGTAACCCACCAGATTTTGCAATATACCATAGTCTTAGCCAACACAGTCAACTAGAACAATGGGAGTTGCAATGCAGCATCATCTATAGCAGCAAGCCCCAACCCCCGGTCCCTGGCCCAGTCCCAGTCCCTGACCTGGGCCAGACCAGGCTGCCGAGAGAGACCTCCCCCCACCCCCCGTGCGCATTCACCCCTGTGCCGCCCATTTGTGTGTGTGCGTGCACTCCGGCGTGCCTGCACAAGCGTCGCGCTACCATATGCACATGCGTGCGGGGACCTGCACAAGTGTGCACTGTCGTTTGCACATGCGCATGAGGAGCCGTGCACATGCGCAAATGGCATGCACTCATTTGGGCCCATCTGCGCGCATGCGCAAATGGTGTGGCACTTGTGCAGGCACACGCCCGCCTCTGCAAGAGAGTGTGCGCTTGTTCATGCATGTGAGTGCGGAGGGTGACCCGCCTTCCCCAGCCAGTCCGTGGACCGCAAAAGGTTGGAGAACACTGATCTATAGGATGACATAACCTTAAATGCACATTAAGTTTGGTTCATTCTGAGCTGCCAGAATTGTGTCTCCTGTATCATGTAATCATGCATAATAATAATAATATTTTCATGCATTAGTTCATTTGCAGCACAAGTTTCCTCCCGCAGAGTCATATTCTGTTACAGAATTTGTACTGAGGTAGAACAAAACTACAGGCATTCTGCAACAGAAAAGTTACAATGACTTCCAAATTCAGCCACTTGCCATAATAATATAATAATAATATAATTTATTGTCATTGTAAGTATATACACAGTATACCATACATCCAGCCTGTGGCTTTTTTACATTGTGAATACAGTGGTGCCTTGCTTAACCAGCGCACCGTTTAATGACGAATCCACATAGCGATCTATTTTTTGAGATCGCTAATGCTATCACTTTGCAATGTTCTGAATAGGCAAAACATCGCATTGCGATGATCGGTAAGTGTTTCGCTTACCGATCTTTCGCATTGCGATGTTTTTTTAAACAGCTGATCGGCGGTTCCAAAATGGCCGCCAGGTGCCCAAAGTGGCTACCGCAAGTGTTTTCACGCCGTGCCCTCGCTTACCAAGGGCGCAAAAATGGCGGCGCTATAGAGGAACTTCACTGAACGGTGAGTTTGGGCCCCATAGGAATGCTTTTTCCGTTCTGTTTAGCGATGTTTCTGCATAGCGACGTTAATCCGATGTTTCTGCATAACGTCGCTATGCAGGGCACCGCTGTACATTTAGTACATTGGCATGTATGGGCACACACTGCAAGTGACTGGATTTGAAATATATTTCTTTCCTCACAACCTCCTGTGGATCAGCAACTGATGGTTCTGGTCTATGGGTTGCCACTTTTAGAAGCACTGAACTAGAGAATCTCCAAAAGTTATCAGCAGTAGTCTAAACATTACACTACCGCCAGGGTTACCAATACGAATAACCACTTAACACATAGAAAGCATGTCATATCACCTCTGATTTCAGCCCTTATCTTTGATGAGGAAGTGTCCTACTTGCTCCACCAGATGTTTATAGGTAAAGGGGTACTGATCATTTTCATATATTTTCAGTGGTCCCCAACCTTTTTAGCCCTGCGGACCGGCTGGGGAAGACAGGGCACTCCCCTGAGCTCATGTGCATGTGAGAAGGAGCGCACTTGTGCACATGGGCAAAGGAGTGGGGGCGCTCATGCGCATGCACAAAGGGTGGCGTGGTGCTCAGGGAGCACTTGTGTGCATGCGAGAAAGGGGTGCAGGCGAGCACGAGCAGGCACAAACAGGCTATGTGGGGATGAGTGTGTGCGGGGGGTGGGAGGTCTGTCTCCGTGGCCGAGTCTGGCTCAGGCCACGGGCCGGGGGTGGGGACCTCTGTATTAAATGACATGAATTTCAGAAAAATAAATAAAAGCAAAATAGAAAATTGAAGGCTTTTTAGGGCAACATCAGATATAAGCACTACAAATATTGTATTGTACTGCACCTCCCAGATTTTTTCCTATATAACAGATCCACCTTAGAAGCTTCAAAAGTAAACAGATTGTTTACTCTGATCTCATGGTCACCCACGGTCTCGGTAATTCACACATTATTGCCACTGATTACAAAGGAAAGTTTGTAGGGGAGAAAAGTTCATCACAGATTGTAAACAGTCAATCTAATTAACATTCATGTTACTCTACCACTATTATTTTATGACAGAGGTTCTCACATTCTTTACAAGCTTCAATGAAAGACTTGCATATCAAAGACACCATCACAATGTTAAAACACCCACTGACTTTCTCATCAACCATGATCTCTGTGTTTTGATATCTAGATTCTGATGCCATGTATAAATATTTACCATGTTAAATCTCTTAGATGTTTGATGATGTGCACTTGTCCATGAAAGCTCACATTTAAAAAGTTAGTCTTCAAGGTGCTATCACATTTTTTTTACTTGCTACTTCTATTTTGCCTTTACCTATGACGCTTGTGCAGTCACAAAGTTACCCCTTCTACAACTACAAAAATGAGTGTTACTCATATACTAAAAAGAACCCAGAATCCTGCAATTACTTCCAGTCTCACAGCAACGTCCTACACATCTCTTACCTGTATATCTTTCTGGTGTTGATGATGTCTGGTAAGCTGGCGATTGTTCTCCTTTATATCATCCTGCAGAGAACATATTTGTTGTTGCAGTTCTAACAAACCAGTTTTTTCACTCTCAACTTCTTTCTCCAAGTGGCTTAAAGAAACAAAGCATGGGTCACAAAACAAGTTGCAAGTTCAAATTCCAAAACGACAGAACTTGGGCAAGCGTTTTCATCTCTTTTGCAAAGAAAGCAGGCAATTAGTTGTTGATGCTGACCTTATATCGGCCTCCACATCTCTGCTGAGGTATCTGGGACTAGTATTTTCAGAGGAATAATACCGTCTCTCAAATACCTGATCACCGTTTGCAGTAAAAGCTTCTTTACAATTTTTGGGAGGCTTGTTTTGCTGCATCACTCTACGGGCTTCCTGACTATTCTAGGAGACAGAAAAAAGCAGTAGCAGAAGCTTTCATGGACTGTAGTATTTAGATAGAAACATTTTAAATGGCCGTTGATCTGTATTTTTATACTAATTAGTGTGACTAACATGTTTCTGCGACACACTACAACTATCCTTCAAAATATCCTGTTGAGAAATCAGGCATCCCATTCTAATGTTTTCTTGTCCTGATTCATTGTTCTGGAACAGACTTACATTGGTGCCCCACTTGACGATTACCCCATTAGACGACGAAATCGCTTGACAATGGGTATTTTGCAATTGCTATAGCAATCGCAAAACGATGTTTGTATGGGTTTTTTTTGCTTCACGATGATTGGTTCCGTTTCAGGAACCGATTTTTCACTTAACGGTGATTTAAAAACAGCTGATCGGCGGCTCTCAAAATGGCTCCCCGCTGTTTTGCTGACCTCATTTTGCATGACAGGGAGCGGAAAATGGCCACCCTATGGAGGATCTTCGCTGCACGATCAGGTATTTCCCCCATTGGAACCCATTGACCAGTTTTCAATGCATTTCAATGGGTTTTTTTTTTTGCTTGACGATGATTTCGCTTAACAGCGATTTTGCTGGAACGCATTATCGTCGTCAAGTGGGGCACCACTGTACTTCCAGGCAGAATGTTTCTTCAGAATCATTAGTATTTGCCATTTCTCACCCCCACTCACCCACCCACTTTATTAGTATTATTAGTATTAGTATTAGTAATTAGTAATTAGTATTAGTATTAGTGGTAGTGGTAGTGGTAATATTATGCAAGACAACAGTGCTTGCATTACAGCTGTAAGAGAACACACTTTAAAACTGAAATCTCACTTGAAACTTTGCCTGGTCATAAGAAACAAGCCAACAAGTCTTTCCCTGACAGCAAGCATGAGGGATGTCTTCCAGCTAGTAGGCTAAATTCTTTCTCATAACGTTTCTTAAAGACTACTCCAGGGGTGAGCAGAGCTAAAACCAAAAGGCTGTTCCAAAATATCAGTATTATTTCAACTTAAAACCCTTTCTACCAAGCAACTAAACATGAGAAGATGCATTTGAGCCTTTTGAATGGAGGGAAAAACAGTACAAAAACTCAGAAACCAGAGAACAATGATCTCATGGGATGGAGAGCATGGCCATCAGTGGAAACCTAGAGGACTAGTCAAGAAGCCCAGCCTATCATTTCCACAAAATTTTGTTCTCACTTTCTACAAAAATGGCTAGCAAGCCACCCTGTGAAACATCTGCCACGTCAAATGGCTTAGCAAGTTCTACAAAACGGTCACGCCATGAACAAGCAGTACAATGTATAGGGCACCAACCTCTCCTCAATACATTGACTTGAGTTTTGCATGCCTTACGGTTAAGAAAGTAAAGCCTTACTTTGATTAGCAGGATTGTTTCTATACTTCTCATGTCGATTAAACAATTGGCTACTACGGCATTGTCAATGTCTAACGCTGTCAGGACTGATGGGAATCCAGGGTGAACAACAGCCCTGTCCAAAAAAATTAAATAAATGAATAAATAAAAACAAAGTGGTAACATGTATTTCAAAACATGACCCAATAGAACAAATTAATTTCCTTTTAGTCTAATAAAAGATGACAGAAAGTGTATCTATAGAACTTTTCAGTTGTATAAGAAACCAGTTACCATGCCGGCCGACAGGAGCCCCTCCTAGTCTAAGTCCACTGCAAAGTTGACCTCCATAAATATGCTGCCCATTCCACTTTGGCCATGAGGACTGAACAATTCAATTGTGCAACTAGGAACACAGTTCCCATGCTGACTGACTGTGTAATGCACAAGAGGAAGAGCTTCACGAACAGCCCTTCTGCCTTGGCTCGATGAGCACTACCACTTGCATAACGTTGAGTTACATAAGAGCAGTCAATGCAACAGGATTTCAGTCACGCAGGTACAGTCAGTGCTAATCTTATTAACAGATGGGGCCCAACATGCAGAGGCCTCTTTTGTTTTTATGCAGTAGAACAGAATATTCTGTACTATGGTTGCCCTTCCTACTTTCTCCCAATGAATTCAGGTGGGCTCATGATTGCTTTTGTGTTTCCAAATAATCTGCTAATAGGAAACTGGGAAGTCATTAAAAAAACTATCAAAGTTTTAAAATAACATATTTAACCTCCCAATATCCATTAGCAATTGGCACGGCAATAATACAGGTTATGATAGCTGACAGGGAAACTCTAGACAATCAACAGAATATTATGCTAATATTGTTTAATTATAATCCTTAGCAATGACACAGAGTATTAATTGTTACTAATTTAATCAAAACAGATATATAAATGAGATTCTAGACAAAAAAAGCAGATATACTCACCTTGGCCTTACATCATAAACATTACTCCGAAACCGATTAACAATGATTTGAGGGCGAAAACCTTGTTGGCAAAACCTGGACATCAATTCTTGTAACAGTCTTTCATCTTTATGATTGTCACAGCAAAATGCCAGAACCAGGTTTTTCAAACATGACTCAACAGCCAGCGCAAGTTCAGCATCTTTCAAATGAATAAATGCGCCTAAATGCAAGAAGTAAAACTCAGCATGGTGTGTAAAATCATGCTACTACAGATACAACTAGTACAGATATGCAGGCTATGATTCCCAACTTCTTTCCAGCGACATAAGGTTTGGAAACTCTTAACATTTTAGGGGTCACTGTAGGACAAGCACTGTAGCACATAAGCACCACGAGAACACCAGACAGCTTCAGAAAATACAGACCGCTGTCCAGTATGCAAGGGTTTATTTAGTGGGAAACAGTAATACATTACCTATTGGTCCGATGGGTTTGTATCTAAACTGCTTCTGCTGATGGGCTCTTTCAATTGCTTCACAAAGGTCTGGTATGTAAGGTCCAAATCTTATCAGTCTATTTGTTTTACTGTCCTTCAACTCTTTTAACTGCCGTTGCTGCAAATCCACTTTTTGCTTCAGTTCATATTCTTCCTTCCTAAATAAATAAACACACAGGCTGCTGAAATACGCATAATTAAAAGACTGATTCCACTACTGCAGCTGCAAGAGTTATTTCACACACAAATTTAGTTAAATTTTGCTCAGGGGCACATACTTCAGCAAGCTTGCCAAGCGAGTGTGCCAGGAACTGTGTTTTGTGTGTGTATGTTTGTGTGTGTATTATTTATAGGCTGCCTTTCTCTCAGTAAGGGCACCCAGGACGACTCACAATATTAAAAAGATTAGAATTAATAATATGGCAAGTTAAACCTTAAAAAACAAGTAAACTATATGCTGATTGCAGAATACAACTGAATCATGACAAGCAAGTAAACATTAAAAACCTATCTTAACTTTTAAAAGGCATTCAGAACAACGGTTCAGAATAATGTTTGATGACTGCTGAAGGCCTGCCTGAAGAATAAAGGAGAGTGGGGGCAACCTGATTTCCCCAGGGAGAGCATTCCACAACCTGGGAGCTGCCACAGAAAAGGCCCTCTCTTGAGTCTCTATCAGCTGTGCCTGCACTGGCAGTGGAAACAGAAGACCATCTTAAACGCCAAGAAGGATCATAGGGAGAGAATTATGGCTGACAACTCATTCACCAAGCACCTGAGTGTCTCTCTTCTTCAAAGGACATTTCTAGAATATCCGCTTTTACTTGTGGGTCTAGGCAAAATGGGATGGCAGGCCTTTCTGCCAAAAACTGAAACCTTAACACTGTTGCAGAAAAAACAAGGAAATGGTTGCCTTTCCCTCGCCAAAGGCGCTCAAAGAAAGCAAGGCAGGTGTGTTGTCCCCTCCTGCCACCGGGAAATGTTCATTACAGTAAACACAGTACGTGCATGCTAGTTTTGGTTCCTATGGGGAATTGAATAAGTTACACAGGAAGATTACAAAAAAAGTTTTCACATTACAAAAATAACTTAACTATCTCAATTATATTTGTTAAACTTACTTCAGCCTAGCAGTATCTTCCTTGTACACAGATACAGCCTGCTGAAATTGCGTTATCTGATAACCAATTGATTCATCTTGATTATGCAATATCTTAAGCTGGTCCTTCAGTGTTTCAATTTTTCTCTGTTTTTCCAAAACTTCAGGTTCAGAAATTCGCTCAGCACTGCAATATTAAACAAAACAAGCCTTCGAGAATGCAAAACAAGAACTGATTTGGCAAAATCAAAGATACAAAGAAGGAACAGGCATTCAAAGTGTTTGCATTTAGTTCAATATGTTTCTCCAGCATAACTTCTTTGCACACACTATATGAATAAACTATAGGGCTTGAGTCAAATATAGTGACCAGTTAAAATCAACACTCTTAGTTCCACACTTTTACTCCAGCACAACTCTATCAGTATAAATCTCAGCGGTGAACTGCTGCAAGTTATATCAATGTAGCCATTTGCTGTTGGATGCTGAGTTGCACAAGTTAATGCATGACAGCAAATGCCTACACTGACCTCTTAATTTGTGGCCATTTGTCACCGAGATTTATGTTGATTGAGTTATGCCAGCAGCCATTAACTAACATGCTTTTAGCCATGGAGTGTTATTCAGAATCTAATTTATATAGACAGATACATATGGTTGGCGGCTGGATTGAAGACCAAGAAATCAGAGGGAAATTGATTACAAAGGAGTACTGACAGTGATAAGTTACACTACTAACTCTAACCATTCGCAAAACTTATATATTATATATATTATATTGTCACCTGTTTTAAATGCCAATTAAAGGCAAATAAAGCCAGTAACTGCCTGGATAATATGTAGGTACAACCCAGAAGAAAGGAATGGGTCTCATATCAGCCACCCTTCACTAATGGGGTGACATCAAGTGAAGTACAGTGGTGCCTCGCATAGCGAAGATAATTCGTTCTGCAGAAATCGCTGCAGAACGAAAACATCGCTATGCGATATTAAAAAGCCCATAGGAAGGCACTGAAACCGCTTCAATGCATTCCTATGGGCTTCAGACTCACCTTTAAGCATAGATCCTCCATATGGCGGCCATTTTCGCTGCCCGGTAAGCGAGGAATCCATCCCAGAAAACAGCGGGCGGCCATTTTTTTACCTGGCAGCCATTTTGAAACTGCCGATCAGCTGGGGGAAAATCATCGCTTTGAGATAATCAGTAAGCGAAACAGGGAACCAATCATCGCAAAGCAAAAAAACCCATTCAGACCATCGCAAAGCGATCGCAAAATCTTCATCGCTGTGCGATTTCTTCGTTAAATGGGGCGCCCGTTAAGCGAGGCTCTACTGTACTACAAAAATAATCTTCATTGTGTGAACATGCCCACAAATACCTAGGGATCCCCATGTGTAGGTACTGAACCAGAGTAACAAACTGACTTAGAAGCAGAAAGCATTACCTCTTTTTCAGTTCGTCAATTTTTCTGCAAAGTTGCTCATGGTCTTTTGCCAAGCGTTTCAGTTCAGCTTGAGATCGATTATGTGCTGCCTGAATGAGGAAAGCAGGCCAATGTTAAAAACTAACCAGCGCAATCTTCCAGTGAACAATGACAATACGGGCACAAACTGGAAAACAACAACTGGAATCCTGCCGTTAACCGACCTGTTTCAAAGAGGGTTTCACAACACTAGTCCCCTCCTACAAATACATCCATACAACTATACTGATGGAAAAATTTGTGCATCTGACAAATTTGCACAAAACAAGGAGCCTGGCTGAAAGAACATTACAAGGCAGCAACTGCTTACTGCTACCCCTCTAAGACTGAACTTCCCATCCACACACCTCTGCATCATTATATGCTTTTCTTTTTGCCTGTACTTCTGTTTTTGAAGAAGTACATGAAGGCTGCAATGTTTGAACTTCTTCAGTTATTGTCTCTAGCTTCTCTCGTATGGCTTTATGTTTTTCTTCTGCTGCATTTACCTTATCCTGAAAAATAAACAGAGCAATGTCATGAAGTAATCAGAAACTTCATTACACAAGGGAAATACATTTATGCTAAAATCCTACTGAACCTAATCAGAAAGGTTAGTCATGGCTGCATAGTCTTAAATGGGACAAAGTAACAATATTTTACAGCTAAAGCAGGAGCAACTCACCTCCGCCTTACTTTTCAAGTTAACAACTCAATGCAGCACTCAGGTTGAGCATTTCATTGCAACCTCTCACTGTGTCCTCCCCGATGCCCCCACCAGGAGAAGAGGTGGCCAGCGTGGCCTTGAGCAAAGCTGCAGTCTCAAAGTGCCTCCAAGAGAATTGACTTATGGTGACCCTAAGAGGACTTTCAAGGTAAGTGAGATGTTTAAGGAGTGGCTTGAGTGGTTCCACACCCTCAGTGAGTTTTCCATGGCTAAGCAGGGATTTAAACACAGGCCTCCTGAGTCCTAGCTTGCCATCTGATCCAACGCTGGGCTCCCTTCCACAAAAGTCCTGTTAACCATGTATCAGGTTCTGCACAAAGTATCCCAAAACTGGGGAAAAATCCAAGTATCCATTTCTCCAGTTTTCTATATACAAAGAGCTCCCCCCCCCCGCCCAAGTATCAAGTCTTCCTTCTTGTTCTGGTCCTTCAGGACACATCCTGAAGGTTTAGTGTTTGTGGGAAAGGGATAAATCTGGACTGGTCATAAAGAAACACTTTTAAAGAAATCTGAGATTTTGGAATGCAGTCTCAGAAGAAGGCATCAATCTACTTTTAAAGGTATCTTAATTACACATTAAAAAAAAAACACCCAAGCCTTGCTGCTTTACTTGAAAAATGGAACCAAAGCAATTAAAGCCAAATATTGCAACAAACCTTCCATTCGTTCACTTTTTCAACAAATTTCTCATTTTTCGCTTCTTGAACTCCAATATCGTCTCTGATTGTTTTCATTTCTTTTTCAGCATCTCTCACCTAAAATGCAACACCAATATTAAAGCTACACGCAGATGACGAAAACCATCAAATTAATCCCATCTGCATTAAGTGACAGATGCTAAGACAATTACCATTGCCCAAGCTATCTGGTGCGATAACTCCTTTAACTCATTCTGCATTTCACTCAAAGCAGCGATACTTCTGTAGTGTTCCTTTTTCTCCATATACTGCCTCCTAAGTTCTTCCAGAAACTGGGGGTGGGGGTGGGGAATGAGAGAGAGAGCGAGAGAGAGAGCAAATACATATATAAGAGGGTGATGAATCAAAATGCCAGCAGTAGAAGTGCTACAGTTTTTCCAATCTTTACTAGTGAAAGACCTGCTTAGAAAAAGGAACAATGGACCTAAAATATTAAGTACTGTATATAGCCTTCAGCATAAAATAGATTGGCTCAATATGTAACCACCTCTCCTCAGATATTAACAATCCCAATGACTGAACAATCCTCTTGCTGCCCACTCCCTTCATTCTTCTCTTATCCATCACTGGTTTCTCATGATGTTAAATTACTGGCTAAGTTGTTGTTATGTGTCGCCAAGTCACTTACAGCTTATGGAGACCCTATGAACAAGCAATCTCCAACATGTCCTGTAAAGTCAAGCCTGTGGAATGTCCGCCTTCCTCTTTTCCTGCTGCCTTTAACCTTTCCCAGCATTACTGTCTTTCCCAGAGAATCCTGCCTTCTCATAATGTGCCCAAAGTAGGACAGCCTCAGTTTCATCATTTTTTACTCCAGTGATAGTTCAGGCTTGATTTGATCTAGGACCCACTTATTTGTCTTTGCGGCAATCCAGAGTATCTGCAAAACTCTCCTCCAGCACCACATTTCAAACAAATCCTTTTCTTCCCCATCAGCCTGCTTCACTGTCCAGCTTTCAGACCCATACATGGTAAACAGGAATACAAGAGTGTGGATGAGAGGAAGTCCTTAAACTAGTTTTCTGGTTTGGCTATCACAATAAAACTGTGAATAAAGAAACCAGCAAAGCTTCTGTAACTGGACCTAGGATTAGATGAGACGCGGGAGGGCAATACACAGTGAACTTTGCAGTCTAATAAATTATGGTTTACCAAGCCATGAGCGGTATATTAAACCAGGACTTTATCAATCAAGTAATTTGCGCTAGAGATGAACTGGGTTTTTTCTTATTCTTTTCTTATTCTTCTCAGAAGTTAATAGAGGAATAGTCATTGGGAAGATAAAGAAAAGGAATAGTCACATCAATGCTTACCACAATACATTCACACTGTACAGTGGCAGGATGTCATCCTGGCCTTGGGTTGTCCCTCCCATTTGCTATAAAGACAGGATCCTTAAACCAATCATTTAGGCCGTAGACACCTCTACTGTGAGAGAACAACGCAGGAACTTCAGTCTCATATCCAATACATAATGAGTTACAGAAAAGCACACACATGAAATAATAAACACAATACAGTGGTGCCTCGCATTACGATGTTAATTCGTTCCAGCGAAATCGCTGTAGAACGAAAACATCGTAAAGTGAAATTAAAAAGCCCATAAAAATGCATTAAAACCTGTTTAATGCGTTCCGATGGGCTTAAAGCTCACCATCCAGCCAAGATCCTCCATAAGGCGGCCATTTTCGCTGCCTGTCTTGCGAGGAATCCGTCCCTAAACACAGCGAGGAGTCATTTTATTTCCCCGGCAGCCATTTTGAAAGCACCGATCAGCTGTTGGAAAATCGTTTTGTGAAAAATCGGTTCCCAAAGCAGGGAACCGATCATCGCAAAGCGAAATTCCCCCATAGGAAACATCATTTTGCGATCACAAAAAGTTCATCGTAATGCGATTTCGACATTAAACGAAGTGATCGTAATGCGAGGCACCACTGTAATCCAGCTTAAGACTGTATGATCATGTCCTCACATGAACAGAAACCATCACTCAGCCCCTCTCGGCCTTGCCCAGCTACCTCCTTTTTGATAAGTTAACTTGTTTACCAAGTGCAAGCTTCTTGGTTGGGAAAGAATAGCTTTTTTCCACTGCAGACAATGAATGCACTACAGTAATCATCAAGTAGTGGCCAGAGTGACGGACTAGGACTTGGGAGACTGGATTTGAATCCCTGCTTGACCAGAGAAAATGACTGGGTTGGGGAGACTAATGTGGATGACCCAATTAATACACAGCCAGGAATTATACTGGGGTTCCTGGGTTCGTCTCACACATTAGAGGGCACTTAAGAAAGAGATCTACATGATTAGGTTAAGAATCCTCTTGGTTATCAGAGTGAGCCAGAGAGACAACTCAAGGTAAGGATTTTGTATGCTAGTTTAAGGTGTTACTTAGGCATCTGAAAGAAGATCTATAACAAATTTGAAAGATTCATTTTTTTAAAAACAGTTCATGATTGTAGCATTTATGTCTGGAACACATGAAAACAAGGTTGTATCTACCAAGACATGATTATTACAAAGTACTGGAAGTGTTGCATACCTGTCCTCCCTTTTCAATCTGTTCTTTTGTTCTTTCTTTGGTTTCCATAATGTATGAATAATCTTCTTTCATCTGCTCCAGCTGTGTTGCTTTCATAAAGAACTAACTCAAGAAACAATTAAGTTCATGGTTTACAACTGTCAATCCAAAGCAATGGGTACCATCAGCCTGCTTGCTTATACCCAAAGCTCAAAAATGTAGTGTAGCATACAATGCAGTTGTATATAGCATATTCAGTGAATGCAAACACTAGGCCTAGCTTAGAAAGTTATTTAAAAAACATGTAGTTCATTAGTTGTTACACATCAGTTTGTATGAGCCGTGTGTAACTATAAAAGTCCCTAAAGTTCCAAAAAGAGTAGAGCGGTGCCCCGCATAACGAGCGATTCGTTTAACGACGAATCCGCATAGCGATTTTTAAAATCACAAAAGCGATCGCATAACGATGTTTTAAATGGGTAAACATCGCTTTGCGATGATCGGTAAGCGTTTCGCTTATCGATTTTCGCATAATAATGTTTTTTAAAACAGCTGATCGGCGGTTCCAAAATGGCCGCCGGGTTAAAAAAATGGCTGCCCGCAGAGTTTTCGCACCCTTTCATCGCTTACCGGGCAGCGAAAATGGCGGCCGTATGGAGGATTTCCGCATAACGGTGAGTTTTTTGCCCATAGAACCGCATTAAACGTGTTTTAATGCGTTCCTATGGGTTTTTTTGCCCCGCATAGCGACGAATCTGTATAGCGACGATCTTTTGGAACGGATTATCGTTGCTATGCAGGGCACCACTGTACAAATAAAAGTTCTAAGCAAGTTATTTGCTTAGGATTTTTTTAAAAAATCCACTGTGCCTCTTCAGAGGATCACCATCACCACCAAATCTGTCCTAACTACTGCAACAATAGCCTTTCCTCTTTCTTTCCAACTGGAATATGAGTCATGTTGGAGTCCTGAGACATGTGGCCCTTCGGAAGGCAAGACACTCCCCCCAAGCAGGAATACACATAGAAACAAAGCTCACAGATGGTCTATTCACTCTGCTTATTCCACCAGAGCAGCACGCAGAGACAAGCTTACAAGTTCCCAGAGTTTGATCAAGTTTGCACAAACATTAGGGATTCCCTTAACAGTTTACATCATGATTTAGGAGAAAGAAACAAAATATTAGTTTTAGTTATCATCACGGATTTCACAACAGTGTTTCTGTCAGAGGGAGGGACTGGACTCCACACCCAAAGAGGGTCCCTAAGCTTGCTCTTTTTTAAAAAAAGGACAAAAACTTTCCAATATTCCCACTACAGTAGTATTTGTGGAATAATGAGTAAACATTGTTTTCATTATTTTTATGCCAAAGTGAAACAGTTGATAAACAATGCTAAAATATTGAGAAGTAATTATTCTGCTCCCTATTACAGTGGTGCCTCGCATAACGATGTTAATTGGTTCCATTAAAAACATCGTTATGTGAAAACATCGTTAAGTGAAACACCATTTCCCATAGGAATGCACTGAAAACCAGTTAATCCATTCCAATAGGAGCCTATTCAATACATTTCAATGGTGAAAAAAAATCACCAAAAATTCAAAAAGACTCAGAACAAAGACAAATTACTTTAACGAAGGTTTTATTAGGTGCACTAACGATTCCAAGCATTTTAAACATTATTTAAACATTTTAGAATATTTTTAAAATAGCGAAAACAGCGCTGTCAAAAAAAAAGTTAAGCGAAACAGGGGACCTAAAACTGTCATTGTTAAGTGAAGCAAGGTCCCAAACATCGTTATGCAAAAATCCCCCATAGGAAACATTGTTAGGTGAGGCGGCAAAATTTCCAGCAAAGGCCATTGTTATGCGAATTCATCGTTGAGCGAGGCACTCGTTAAGCGAGGCACCACTGTACTTGAAAAGCAACAAATGAAAATTGCTTTACTCATAAACTATTACTTTTAATCTGTTACTTCTCAAGTTCTGTCGACATGCTTCTGTCTCCTTAACAGTTCCTTCACCTCCTAACTGTTGAAGATCTGGATGTGCATATCGGTCACGGACTTCGTATTCTTCATGCATGCATTTTATGTCTTTTTCTACACATGAAAAAACTGTACCATACAATTTTACAAAGCATAATGTAAAGTGCCTTTGATTACCTTGTATTTGTCACCTTCATTTTTTGACTGCAAAAACTGTTTGCTCATTTCCTGGGTGAGGACAGACACAGGATTATCCACCTGAAATAGCAACCATCTTTTACCATATATATTTAAACTAGCCAAGGTAAAATGGACTGATGCAAACAGCACAAGATGGGGAACCCTGGCTCAAGATTCTTCAGCAGTGTGCTAGTATACCTGCCTAACCGCTCCTTCTTGGCTTGCTTATCTTTAGGTATGAGCTGGGAACTCCAGCTTGCCTTTCCTCCATCTGGCCAGAGTTCCCAAGTTGATCAAAATGCTAAATAAGCTAGGGAGATAAGGTGCATAATTAATTTTGCTGCTCCTGATTGCAGGAGGAACCAAATAGGAGTCACACGGCCCAATAAGTAAGTGTTGTTTCAGAAAGTTGTCCAATAAGACCAATATTTAACTGACCACCCACCCGTGGTTCAAAAATTCTGCTCAGTATCCATTGCTATGCAGGGAAAATCAGTTACAGTATAACTAGAGATGGGGGTATTCATATTCATATACGAATATCCTCGCACAGGTGGTGGTAACGATGGCCCACCCCCATGGGGCCGGACGGTTCACTCACCGAGCTGCTGTGAATGTGGATGGCGCGATTCTACGAATGGCTCTGCAGCGTGCAATCTGCTCGCCACTCCTGCCAGGAGGACAAGCCTTGCTGCAAGGTTGAAGAGCGGCGAGTGGATCATGCGCTGAGGAGCCATTCGTAGAATCGCACCATCAACGGCGGATTGGTGAGTGTAGTAACTTATTTCAACATTAATTGCCCTTTACTGGCTGCATTCCAGATTGAAAGTGCTTGCAGTGATGGAGGACAGGGCTGAAATTCAAAGAAGGGAGGACCAAGAAGACCTACTAAATGCACGCCGAGTTGAGCCCCACAGTGAGGGACGGTGGGCTCCTTGCTTGTTTCATTTGGCTGGCTGTTTTAGAACTATTTAAAATAAATGATGTAAGGTGCTATGGTATATAGAATGAAAGTATTTCTGATGTTACCTGGATATTAAAATGATCTAAGATTGCAGTAAGCTCCTCTTTTTTTGAAGAAATTATGGAACCTGAATGTGAGAATAAATTACAGTTAGCACTTTTTAAAGGGAGTAACAGCTCACATTAAATCATAGGTTTGGGACACAGCACAGTCCTTCATTATGTGCTGCATAAGTAAGAAAACCGTGCTTGAGTTTCTGCAGGGGTTCTATTGTCAACAGTAGCATTCCCACTTTTATAATAATTACATGCCATCAAGTCAATTCTGGGCTCCTCTTACTCACCTTGATAGGCAGGACAATTAAAACTAATCTCTGAGGCTTCCCCTAGTCTTCCTCTAGTGCAGAGGAACAACTTGAAGTTTGCCAGTAAAAACTGGTATTGCCTCTTTTTTTTTTTTTAGTTCAGTTACACTTTAAGCAGGCTGGATAGCTGAGTGAGTCATGTATGTGACTGCAGAGTCAGAGGTTGGGGGTGTGATTCTCTACTGTGCCTCGACAACCTGTGAGGCCTTGAGCCA